CAAAGAATATGTTTTTATAACGTTCAGTATAAATTCCTCACAGATCTAAAGGACAAATGAATGATGACATGCCTAAACACTGAATTTTGAATCCTAAGGGTCATCTCGGAATGTTAACTTTTTAACTAGGAATACATTTATGGGCTTTCTAAGGCTGATCTTTGTAATCAAGACATTCGACTCCATCATTGAGTATATGTTTTATTTGAATTAAAAGAAAAAAATCTTTTCGACATCCCTCGGGGCACTACAGGTCCTAAAAAATTTTTTTCGAAGAATCCCAATTTTGACCTCTAAAATACAATCAGGATCTATCCCTAATTGCATTTCAATGAAAAGATCTCGATTTTATTGTGGGTGAGACAATGGTCCTATCCGCCCTCATCCTTCAGATGTAATAAGAGAGAAATACCGAAAGATTCGTTGGATAACAAAATATGTATAAGAAAAAAAACTTTAAAAAAAAAGAAAATAAATTTTTGTTAGATCGACAAAATTCTATCTCTATTAATTTATTTTTTAGCGATATATTCAGAAGATTTGACATAAACTATTTATTAATAACAAGATTTAAAGACTTGCCAGATCATGGCTATACTGATTAAATTCACTTTTTTTTAATAAAAAATATTTTATAATTCCTTTGCTTGTTTAATCAACAACTATTATCAGTCTTCTACGTAGAAGCAAATATGTGTATGTGTATTAAAAAAAGTACGTGGCACTGATCGTTATTGACTTCGCATGAAAGTTTCATTGAGGATGATTGACATGAAGAGATAAAGAAAGACAGAAACAATGTATCGATTACATAAATAATTAATTTAAAATGAAATTATACTAGTCTTTATTGAAAATTGAATTGAAGGGAGTGAAAGAAAATTGAATTTCTTTTCAAAAAAAAAAAGTTGATCGACAACATGTATGAAAACATGTTGTCTAAGATGTTTGAGATTTTTTTATTTGACATCGAATTATCAATGGTATATTCTCTTTATAATTAATAATTTATCTTACTATTTTGGTCGACTGACTCAAAGAATTTTTATTAATAATGCATTGTTTGTTTTTGGTACAATCGTATCATTTCACCATCATCATCACTATTATGTATGATGACAATTTTTTTTTTCACATCTTCCTACATGATATATATTATATGTGTTCAAAGTATCGAGTGTATTTCTCTCTACGAAAATCTTTTTTTTTTTTGCACTAAACTAGTGAAGTTAGAATTCGTGTGCAGCTGATTATCTAAAGCAGAACGCAAGAGAGAGAGAGAGAGAGAAATCGAGATTTTCTTGAACTTGTGCAGAACGAAAGAAAATGTTGGGATTGAAAGGATTAAGTGACATGATTTATTGTTTGTTGTTGGGATTTTTTATTATTAATTCGATGTATCGTTTATTTGGAAAGTGATCAGATTTAAAAACTTGAATATCACTATCTTTTTCGCATAGCGTAAAGGATAGCTCCTATCTTTTCTATTTGCTTGTCGAAAGATAAATAAATTAGAAGAAATGAAGAACGAAAGAGATTTTATTTATCTAGTCTATATAAATAGATGAAAATGACGTCATGATTTGAGGATAAAGATTTCGTTATTTTCTTCTTATTGCGTATTAATTAAATCAGTAGAGGTCTCCATCACTATTCGGTCATTTTCTTTTTTTGAATATAAAATTTCTCTTTCTGAAAGAAAAAATATGAACGACCATTGATAATAATTTCTAGATGAACAAATACGAATTCATGTAAACAACATCACGCTCGTATCATAATGATTTAAGATGGAAATCAGATGAATTGGTCGTCTTGTCCCATTACTTATCAGAGATGGACAAAATCGCACCGCGCCTCACCGCGCCGCTGCTCGCGCCTAGGTGCTATCCACATCTCTCTTTCTCTTTGCTCTACCAATCAGTTTCTCAAACTCCACCGAATACCGGGATGCTCCAAGCATGCGCTCATCGAAGCTCAGACTAGTGTAGCGTAGGCGTGAGCAGCGGCGCGGGGAGGCGCAGTGCGATTTTGTCCATCTCTGTTACTTATTATTAAGTAATGGTTTTCGGGTATTCAAAGGCAATGGTGTAAGATCTTTTTTTTTCTTTAAAAAAAAATATTGGTTTGCTTTTCGTAGACACCACCAGATGAAATTCTCGTTTTAACACCTAACAGTAACTCCAGTGTCATGATTTACACAAAAGATGGTCATAATATAACAGTTAATCATGATATAAATAATCATTTGTATACTTTGTATTTACAGGTGAGGGCCAATAAAAAAACACAAGTAGTATGTTTTATTTTAAATTTAGATTGATAAGGAAGCATTCATTGAGGAGTTCATCATTAATGATTATATAGATCATCAAAAGTAAAAAAAAAATCATTACATTTTATCAAAAAAAAACATTTCTTTTAGAACTCCAACAAATACATCAACAGTTGTTCGTGATATCGATGGATTTGTAGCAAAAGCACTCAATATGATAAGTCAACTTGAAGAATATATGAAAACTAAAACAGAACAATAACCTGGACAAGATCATTCACAAGGTGTTCTTTCATAATATTCATATGCTAACAAATCGTTATAAAATTCTTTTTTATATAACGATCAAGAATATCTTGCACAAGAATAATAAAAATTTAAACTTATTTAAAATATCTCTAGCTAATGCTTGAATGATTCACAAATATATAAAATTTGTTCAATTTGTCTATCAGAAAAAAACCTTTACTATGAGCAACAAGATTTAATAATGCTAAAGGACGTTTAACATCCCAAGTACATGGTTCACAATGACCTTCGTCAAAATCATTAACATTAAAATTTAATATTCCATGACTATCTAAATATGAACCAAAATTTTCAGTATGTAAATCAACATAAATTTTTAAAACAAATTAGTAATAAAAAAGAAAGAATATTTCTTACATGAATAAAAATATTTCTAGCCGGTAGATGAAATGACACCCATGAATCTTTATTCACTTTTAAATCTTGATAAAATAATAAAGCTGATCCTCAATAGAAATTAAATGATATTGTACAATTATATCAATTATTATTTGAGATCGTTGATTATCATTTTATGCACAGGTTCGATCGATGACCTTTTGAGAAGCATTTACTGCAAATGATAATCTACTTGCCATTTGTTATTTTGTTAAAAGAAATATTTTCTTTTGTAGAATTTTCAAAATTGAGGACATTGATTTGTATGAACAACGGAAATTCGACTGAATATTGAATCAAATTTTTGTCAAAATGAATTTTTTACATATTTATAAACATATTATTCTGTTTACATATTATT